TTATTGTTCACGTTCTATTATCTCATTCTTATATCTATTTGTTACTGTTATCTCTTACTTTTTTCTTCTCTTACTCTATTTTTCGCTAGCTATCGCATCATATATTGTCAAACGTTAGATCTAAAATGATTTTGTCGCTGGCCTTTTCTATGAATCAATAAGCTATAAAGCAAGGACTTCGCTAAGGTTTCTTTATTCTCATTACGTTTGTTACTGAGTAGAACCATTTGTGCAATATCCTAAGACCCCGTTAATTCAAAACTTCCACAAGTTTTTATTTTTGACATTCTTTCATATATTCTGATAGAGTTGAGCACGCTGATTCCGGATATCACCTTATTTTTTCCATTCGAGTGTATGTTAATGACGGAAAACTCGAAATACTGTGCAGAGGTGAAAAAACTCAAAAAAACGCTTTTTTTGCATAAATTGCGTGCTAGTATTTTTCTCGTAACTCTTAGACGAACAAAACCCACTTTCTCAGATTTCTCATCGAAAACTGAGTCTAGACACTTTCTCTGAGAACTCAATTTTTGGCAACTTCCGGTTTTGAAAGCTCGAGGGGAAATTTCTTTGCTCCTCTGTAAAAATTGATCAATTTGAAATCTTTTTCAAATATGGTTTTTTTGATCTTCAGACTTTGTCTGTCTTCTGAGAACCAATCAACTTCTTGACATGCTACGTGAGCTAACGATCGTACTCAAAACTTGTCCAAGGATTTTTGTAATCAACGTTGTTTATAGTTAAGGGGGAGGCGCGAATAAGATTATTAAAGAAGTTAATATTATTTTAATTGTGAATAATGGATTTTTCTTTTTCATTCAAATCATTCTGCTCTTTTTTACAGAAAGGCTGATCAGAGAAAGCTGAGCAGAGTAACTACATGTGGGTAGAAGACGAAAACCAATAGGACTAATATAAGATTGTCGTACCGACTTCCACCTCTGCATGAATAAAAATTGATCTACAATATTTTGCAAAAATAATTCATCACTTTGTTTTTTATGTTTTTTCTATAACTTAAACGGTTTTGGTAACAAGTAATACTGTCACATAATATTATATTTCAGTGTCAATTAACAGTGCATAATATCAATCCTAAACGTTGTGCTATAAAATTAGGTTATGGTTCACATTGCGATTTTAGAAATTTCAGACAGTGCATACCTATTGTAAGATGTAGAGAGCAATAGATATTTGGTGGGCAGAGGTGGAAGTCAGTACGACAATCTTATATTAGTCCTATTGGTTTTCGTCTTCTACCCACATGTAGTTACTCTGCTCAGCTTTGAATTCTTATTCCAGAAGCTTTTTAGAAACCTTTCAAATATCGAAGCACTTTCACTTGGTTGTTAAAACTGTTATTGAACTTCATCGTGCAGCATAGATAAAATGAAGTCTACATTGATATTCCGCAGCAGCTTGGAACAATTTGACAGGGTTATGAATTCTTTTAATTTTCGATGCAAATACTAGAAAATGGGTTATTTCGTATAGTATAAGTTTTCACTAGTTTTTTGCAAGCTTTTTCGAATAACACACATTGCCACGAGATTCAGCATGGTCGATAATCTGTGTTCCACGTGTTTCGGAAGTTTCCAAAGATGAAGTTAAGCCGATAGGTACATCTTGGGAACAGCGTCCGAACTGTGATAGATGGAACCTAGGGGCTTATCTAGCTCTGTAGAGCGAAGTCCGATGGTTCAAATCGGCCTCTTAGAAGTCAAATTCCACCTTCTTTTCGAGTGATGGAAATCTCCTAAACTTTCGCTCAAAACGGTACACTATGGAAGACCTTTCAGGAGAACTTTATTTTACTATGTGTGATGTGTCCTCTTTCAGAAACTAAAAACTCAAGGTTCCTTCGACTGTCCTGTGAAGACCTGTATTCTCTTGTAGACAGAACGAGAAAAAAGACCGAAGAAAAGAATAATTCTTCCGTTTTTTTTCCATAGAGAAACGCAAGATAAAAATACAGACTACACAGTGACAATTTGCACATCATTTTGGACTCGAAATGCACACTTGAGGAATGCACAATAGCGGGCACACTTTATTTTTTACAGTGATAGTTTAGAAGGGCATTCAAAAACCAAAGTACTTTCTGTTGGTTTTTCTACACCTACTCCTACAATTTCTCATATACTTTTTTAAGCGAATTAGTATAAAAGGCAAATGGATATTAAAGAAATCAAGAGAAACTTGCAAAAGAAATTTTTTTCCTCTCTGTACTTTTTCCAAAGAATTGATAGTCATAGGGATCACTGACTTAACTGTCCAGTGAAACCACTGACACTTAATCCTCGACAGCTGTTTGGGAGTCCAGCTGGACCCATCTTAAATTTTGTGTACATTGTATCATCACTTACTATATTTTTTTTCATATGCCGGTAAAATTGCTGGAATATTCGCGGCCAGAGAGCATAAGTAGGGCTTTTGAGTGATGTAACTCTCCCCGGAATAGGCCAGTCTGGAACGAAAATTTCTGAAAAACGCCCTAGTAGAGGCAGGGCAGTTTTTCACCAAAAAAAGTGCAATGTGCGAAACCACCGTAGACGACCATGGCCTTTTATTCTGTCGGAAGGGTTGTGACAAGTCTAAATCAAACAAAAACCATCGACCCTTTCGATGCCTTTCTTAGTGGGTTCAACTGGACCCGTGAGTAGCTATCGAAGGTGAACAGCCGTCAAGGGTTAACAATCTCGTTGTTATCCATAGCGTTCGCTCAGACTAGAGTGACTAGATGAGATGAGAATCGGCATTACAAAGATGATATTCAAAAATATTCCCAGACAAATTTTTTCTCAACGTTTTATGTTCTGAGGCAACTATACAGCTAGATTGATCAAATGACGGTGCATTGAAAAAAGTTGCATCATGAAGAAAAACTATTATTACATGCAGGCTTTTTTCACTAGAATAGTCAGATCAGTAATAAGACAAAACGTAAACTTTTTTTCATCAGATAACGTCGGAACAACAATAATGCTGATAATTGAAAGAACGTGTCAAATCCAAGACTATTACCATTCTAATACCCACGTTGTTACTATATTTGAAGTTCAAGTAACTGTAGCGACCTCGGCAGTATAATATTTATCATCGATATATGTTGTTGATGTTGATTCATGTTAGCAAGTACAATGCATACCAAAATGATACTAAACGCTTTCCCAATGGTTTTTAGATTTGGAATATTTACTAAAAAAGATGATAGTTTGTTATAACACATGAATTTGAGAGAAAATTCAATATCAATCTTCAATTTTAATATTTCATATGGTAAAATTTTATATCCTGTCGTATTATTCTCGTAAGATAACGGGTGTAACATGTTTATCATTTTCATCTCAAGTTTTAGATTTCGAAAGCTATTAATATTATTTATGTCAGTTTTCATTAACACAAACAATAACTGATTATTATTTTATGCCTTACATAAATTCTGTATTATATTTCCGTCTTCTTTTTTTTTTCTTCGTGATCAATAATGATATATTTCACATTTGGAATAACAATTAGAAACATAAACGATCTACAATAATATGCATTGTAATCAAATATCAGAAATCATTTTACGTATCAACATATTCCGTATATCTATCAATCAGTGACAAATATTTGTAGAACAAGGAGAGGACATAACAATTATTCTCATTTACTCAGTTCTCTGATTCTTGCAAGAATAGTTCTTCATCTACAGAAGGCACGTCACTTATACTGTTAGAAAATAATTATATTTCAGGTATGTATTCTGTCAAAACATTTTTTTATCTCCATTTAAATATTCATTTGAACTGTTAACAAAACAAAAAGTGTTATTGAAAAGACTTTATAGAGTCTACGAACATTAAAAGTTGCTGTGTGATAAATCTAACGATTTGTTCGCTGATGTTATCGCATTACCTGAAATTATGGATAAATTAGGATATATTCTATCTGCCTATAAGATCTGTGTTAGATACCTTCTCGGTTAGTGAAATGGAGTAGATAACTTTTACAAAAACTGGTACAGAAAACGCAGAAGTGATCCCGTTAAATTTGTTTTACAGTTTTGATCCCGATTAGAAATTTACTTATTTCTTCTGAAGAATTGATTCCGGTTGTTGTCTTATTTGTTACAGTTTTTCCCGTATAGGTCGAATTATACGTGCAAACTTTGAATGCGTTTATTTCGTCAGGTTAGCAGTTAACATTTTTAACTCTTTTCTAATCATGACTGAGTCCATTGTACAATGGCACTTAGAAATTGGCAAGAATATTTTAAATGCACAAACGAGATTGATCTTTTGAACTGTATAATAAAAGATAATGTGTACAGAAGGCGAACGGAGATGTTAAACAAGATTATCGATTCGGAATACAGAGAATACCGAAATCAAAGGTTGTACGTATAATTCTACCTGTATGTGACAAACTTTAACAAATAAGACAACAACCGGAATCAATTCTTCAGAAGAAATAAATAAATTTACATAGAAGTTGATGTATATGTTTGGTAGTTTTAAATTGTGATTTCATTTGAAAATTCTGTATGTGTCTTACGTATGTAATAAACTTACATGAGACGATAGAAATGATGACGAAAATCCAACAGTAAGAGAGTATGTTAACCTTTTGTACCATTTATCGCATAATTTACTCTATATCGTATTTTTGTCAATAATTATTTAACCACATATGTATCAATCTTCAATTAAAAAACAATATTCAGTTAAAGTCATAGTTGTCTGTTAGTACCTAGTTTTTATTTTAAGATAGCTATACGCTCATTGAGGTTTACATCGTCTTATGCTCTTGTCTAATGCATATATAAGCTTATGTAATTAGAACGTTTCATACTGATTGTACCATTCTATGAGTAATCTAGTATCTGTTATCATTTGATATATCATTGAAGTTGCTATTGAGATTCTCTATTTAGAAAATATAACACATAAAATTTTAGGGTTTTATTACTTAAAAGTAAATGTTTTTCTTGTACTTAAGTGATTTGAGAAATGAGTAATCAAAGTGAGAATGATTTATGTTCTCGAATAAGTAAATGGATTTATCATGAATTATGGAATTGTAACTATAGCCCATCACGTGACAATTGCATTGCTTATGGAAAAGCATTAGTCAACATTGCATCTGCTGATGGATATTTAGGCGACGATGAACTGAATTGGGTGGTCGGATATATGGCTGCTATTGGTAAGACAGAAAAGATGACTGATAGATTTCATATCCTAGTAACGTATTTATCAAAACGCATATTAGCAAATTGCATTAGTGTAGCTATCGTAGATTTATCCTACACTCTAAAAAGAATGCGACTTCCAGGAAGACACATAAGTCGGATCCCAAAAAGCTGCATTTTAGTGTCTCCTTTGAAGACACATGATGCGACTTTACCTGGTAGTCACTTTATAGCGTCCTTGCTCTAGTCGCATTAAAGACACGTAAGTCGGATCCCATTTAACCGTATTTTAGCAACTCTTTTGAAGTCGCTTTGATGTGTCTTCTGGAGAAGACACATTAAAAAAGTTTTCGTTCCAGCCAAGAATTGAACTCGGTCTACTCGCTTATGGAACGAATGTGTACACCACTGAACCACACAGACACATTAGTTATTAGTCTTATTGGCCTCCTACGCTGACATTTCGTGAGACTTTGATTAAAAACTTAGAGACGCATGGAAGGCGGAATGATCTGACTACTAGGCGCCTTTCTCGTTCACACGTCTTCTATGCGACTCTAACGTGACTTCTATATGCCTACCAGTACACGCATTGAAGACATATAGAAGACACCTACTATTTTGAAGTCGAAATCTAGTCACATACAAGACACTTTTTCTCGGCAAACACATCACTGAAGTCGCATTTTTTTAGAGTGTAGTGAACGTATATTCGTGTAAGTGTCCTTGTAAGTATTGTCCAACGTTCACATGTTTTTTTTATGAATAAACAAAGTATTTTAGTCATTTTATCTTCGTATTAAATAGCCTATAAATATCTGGAAGATGTTCAACAGGTAAAACAATTCGTTATTTTAAGACAGTTAGACTTTTCTTTGATCTCCATTTCTACACTTAGAAAAAACAATGTTATAAATCATATATTTGAAGCTATTAATATATTAAGTCTAATTTGGACGATTTTTCCATCAGGTTAGTCTAAAATCAAGCTTCACAAAATGATTATTGAACACTATCTATAGCTGATAGATAACAAGTCTACGTCCTGTATGTTGTTGAGTATGCAAATTTGCTTAAATTACTAACTGTGAACCGTCATCTTTCAGCAAAAATTCATAATAAATGCTAGAGTAGTGTAAAGCGTATAACTTATAAGCTACCGCACGACAAATCATTGAAATAGAATTAACTTTAATTTTGGTAAAATGTACTTACGAGGAAAGGTCCCTAGTGCCAACTTGGATTTTCTTTAAAAAAGACTTCATTATGAGTAATTTTTTAGGCTGATCACGAATCTGATATCAATTATCCCCATATGGTCTTTCAGAATCTCTGTTCAAATTCAGTGTCTTCAGGAACCCATAGCGAACTTTCGTTTAAACAAATTCTGATAGTGCTCGATTGTATAGCATATCAAATAACCCCTGGGGCACAGCTGGAATCGGTTGAGAAAAGGTAAACCGGTCCGATCCGGCCGATCTAAAAGTGTAACCGGACCGGTGCGGCCGGTGGGAATTATAACTCAAACTGGCGAAAACCTGGCGAAGCTTTTTGAAAACCGATTTTCAGAAAGAACTTTCCCCAGAAATGAAATAATTTACGAGCACATGTAAGAGAACCTTCACAGTAACGAGTCTGTAATATTTAACCTTAAAATAAGTGATGAAAATAATAACTGTCTTGAGAATCGTCTTATTTATTCTGACTGGAAAAGACTTGAAATTTTAGTTTTTTGACGAAAAATAGGGTAAAAAGAGCAGATGTTTCAAAAGTTTCATTCGGTGAAATACCGTTCTCTAGCGGTCCGGTTGACTTTTTCAATCAGTCCGGTTTACCGGACCGATTCCAGCTCTGCCCGATGGACAAGTTTGAGAAATAAGGAACAACTTTTAATTGACTGATAGGTTGTGTATAAAGAAAACACTTCAATGATCCATATTTTGGCTGGATAAAATACTAAAATTTTTTGAAAATTTGTCCTCTGTTTTTCAAACCTTGATCACAGGGATTATTTGATATGCTCTACAATCTGGTATCAGAATTTGTTTAAACGAAAGTTCATTATGGGTCCTTGAAGACACCGAATTTGAACAGAGGTTCTGTAAGACTGTATGGGGATGAACGGATATCAGATTCGAGATTAGCCATAATTATCCATAATCAGGTATGTTTCAAGGAAGATCCAAGATGGCACTCGGGAACCTTTCCTCGTTGGATAAGAATACCACTGATATAAACTAAACATCTGTGTCCTTTTTTCAGGAGCACCGGCTGATACCATTGAAACTATTAAAAAGTACAAAGCCAATTCCGAACAATTTGACGATATTTTTAAAAATGTTAAGGCAACGACCAGCGCAAAAACTGGTTTGATCTACGATGGATTTAAAGCAGCCTCGGCCGACAATGTTTTACACGATAGAGAAAAAGATGCGATTTATAAATTGGGAGATAAATTCGGATTAGAACGGCATATTGTCGAGCAAATTGAACAAATATTTCAAGAAGAACAAAAATTAAAAGAAAAGAGAATTAAACTACTCTTTCCTGATGGTTATCCAGATTTTACTAAATAATGGAAACCGAAACTGAAAACCTATCAAGAAACTTCATCTTGACTGCGTCCTCAAATAAACTCATTATTTCTTTTTACTATTCAATTGTAGTGTTAGAATTCAATAAAATAACAGAAAAAAGAAACGTCTTAAACGAAAATAGTTTGTAAATTTATACTAACTTGTCATTCTTCATGGCATCTATAGGAAGCAACTGAACCAAAAGCAGTTCTTTGATTGAATTGAACTGAGAAATAACTTCGCTATGCAAAGTATTCTACACTAAAAAGCTGAAATGAAAAATCCTCTAAAACTGTGTTGTAAAAAAAGTAAAGTTGAAACTTTACTTTTGTGAACAACAAATAAAAGTGTGCACTGTGCTACATTATTACCGTTTATATTGCCTTCACTGTAGAAAAGTTATTTAGAGGTCGTACCCGCGTCGTGCAGAATAAATTCACTGTTAAACAACATTTAAGTTGCATTTGTCACCGAAAGAACGATCATTGTTCAGAAAAGTGAGCTGGTAATATACGATGCTGGCTTTATGACTTCCTTATAACTTTTAATAAAACACTATGAAGAGCTGTCCGAAGCTTAATTTTAACCGGAAAAGCTAACTTCACAATTTGACACTATTGGAATTCTCAATACAAACGAATAGACTGTGATAATTTTTGTGATTTATTTCAAATATAAAGAATTTGATAAAATAATAGAATCATAATCATCATTCATGAATGAAGATTTTTATGATATTGGTGTGCTACGTGCATCTGAATTTCTTACCAGTTTCATTCTTGCTGTCCATGAGCTATTCTTTCGAGAATGTACCACATTTACATCGACTTTGTGCGAATTGTTCGAGAGTAACACGACTAGTTTAACTCGGGCTCCTGATGACGAATATCACGTTTAAAACATTTTAAAACAACGGCATGGTGGCCTTCTAGACCTGCGGAAATCCCATTTCCCAGCAGAACAGTCCTTGTGTGGGTATTTTCACCATCTTTTAGTGACACACTTTCATGAGCTGGTACCGTCAGATTAGCTTCTATATCTGCAGAGCTACAAAATCACTAGCGGATAAAAGTTTCAAAATGTCAAGCACATTCTCAGGAAAATATTTAAAAACATCATTTTTTCCGAAAAGTAGGCCGTTCTTGTAAACCATTTTCCTCCCATATAGATGTCATGTCGAATATAAATATATATTTGTCTCAAAATGAATATACTGACTGTTTCACAGGCTTTCGAAGGTGAGAAACTGACGCTAAGAAGCCTTCTAAACTGATCCATCTTG